CACCACCCACCACTCACATCACCACTACTCACATTACCACCACCCAGCGCTCACTTCACGACTCACATCAGCACTACCACCCACGACTCGCACCACCACCACCACCACCACTAACATCACCACCACAACCACCACCCATCACTGACATCACCACCACAACCACCACTCACATCACCACCACCACAACCACCACCCACCACTCACATCACCACCACAACCACCACCCACCACTCACATCATCACCTCCACAACCACCACTCATCACTCACATCACCACCACCACAACCACCACTCACATCACCACCACCCACCACTTACATCACCATCACAACTACCACTCACATCACCACCATAACCACCACCCACATCACCACCACAACCACCACCCACCACTTACATCACCATCACAACCACCACTCACATCACCACCATAACCACCACCCACCACTTACATCACCACAACCACCACAACCACCACCCATATCACCCCCACCACAACCACCACCCACCACTTACATCACCACCACAACCACCACCCATATCACCACCACAACCACCACCCACCACTTACATCACCACCACAACCACCACCCACCACTCACATCACCACCACCCACCACTCACATCACCACCACCACAACTACCACCCACCACTTACATCACCACCACCACAATTACCACCCACCACTTACATCACCACAACCACCACCCACCACTTACATCACCACCACCACAACCACCACTTACATCACCACCACCCACCACTTACATCACCACCATAACCACCACCCACCACTTACATCACCACAACCACCACAACCACCACCCATATCACCCCCACCACAACCACCACCCACCACTTACATCACCACCACAACCACCACCCATATCACCACCACAACTACCACCCACTACTTACATCACCACCACAACCACCACCCACCACTCACATCACCACCACCACAACCACCACCCACCACTTACATCACCACCACAACCACCACAACCACCACCCACATCACCACCACAACCACCACTCACATCACCACCACCACCACAAACACCACAACCACCACTCACATCACCACCACAACCACCACCACAACCACCACCACCACTCACATCACCACAACCACCACTCACATTACCACCACCACAACCACCACAACCACCACCACAACCACCACCACAACCACCACAACCACCACCACTACTCACATCACCACAACCACCATCCACCACTCACATCACCACCACCACAAACACCACAACCACCACTCACATCACCACCACAACCACCACCACAACCACCACCACCACCACTCACATCTCCACAACCACCACTCACATCACCACAAACACCACAACCACCACCACAACCACCACCACAACCACCACCACAACCATCACCACCGGCAGTCGCTTACTCCCTGGCACTGACCTCACCGTGAGAATTCGCTGCCATCGCCACTTTCCCCCTTCCAAGTTCTTATCTCATCGCTTTGGCAAAGAGGGAGAGACCGAGACTGTAACTGATCATTTATAATCGTACGATCTTAGCAAAAAGTAACACTGGAAGTTTCAACAAATTATTTCTATTGACGGTTACTGTTGTATTCGATTTAATTAATCCCCCACCCACCATGATAACGTGGAATTTCCCACCACCGGATCGATGTAGGTGACAGCCGCTACCTCTCCCCACCCCCCGCCCTCTACGCCCCCCCTCCCCCCCCCCCCAAATTAGTTTATTTGAGAAATTTGCCGCAGATTGATGAATGTCTGAAAGTCAAAATTGGTCTTTAAAAAAAATACACACAAAGTTATGTTCGTGTCCGCGATGAGTGATGAGTAACGGATTAATACTGAAAGCGAGATGCCATGTCATAGAGAGATACCACACAGGGTAAGGGCGAGTCTGTTTTGTTGCTTTAAAAATAACAAATTGTTGTAGCGGTAATTGTCGTTGTATCGATACTCTGCGCAATTGGTTTTACACCTGCAGTTATTTCACGACCCATTTTACGATTCATAATCGGGGTTGTTGTTTTTTTTTGCTGCGCGCTACGTAATCGTGTTAAATAACAATGTTGTGTCGTAAAGCGTCCTCCACCCAACGCAGGCTGAACTGAGCTCTTGTTTATCAACCTGATGATGCTGGCTGCAATCTCCAGCGAAACCTCGCGCCTATTCAAATGTTGTGAGATTCATTACTCTCCAACAACAACAATAACAACAAAGACAATCGGGAGTGCTCCCGAACCGGTCACACATTATGCCACGTTTTGATTCACGCGACACTCTTGTTAACCGGTTGTGACGGGTGGAGGAGGGGTTACGACACACACACTTTTACACGATGACATCACCCAATTATCGATCACTGCACAACTGGTTTGGTTCTCGTCATTTTCCGGGGTTGTACCGCGCGATCAACTCGGCGCGTCGACCTTTGCCCGACGTTTCGCTTCCTGGGGCACGGCTCTCGCTCGCAGCCAGCCAGCCGCGGTGGTGCGAAACGTCGGACATCACCACCACCACCGCCACTATCATCGTGTGCGAGCGACAACGCGGTACAGCCCCGCAAAAAGCTCCACACAGACACACGCACGCAACCGCACGGACCGCGTGCAGGCAAAAAAAGTTCGTAAGTTTGCCGTAACAAATCCGAGTGCTTTTCGTCGTAATTCACGACGGCTTCCTGTTGTCCGTTCGGCCTGAAGCGAGCACGCGGCACGGATCGGCCGTGCGATTGAGGATTTTGAACCTCTACACCGCCCCCGACCCACCCCCTCTCGCCGATCACAGCCCTGCGTCCACCTTTCCAATAACAGAGATCAGAAAAAAAGCTAAGTGAGACTTACAAAATTAAATCCATGGGACAGCGCCGTGAATGGGGGGACCGGGGGGGGGGGCGGGATTGTGGTTGACGGTTCGATGGCAGGGAACCCTCGACGGCAGTGGCGATGCGGAGAACAACAAGAATAACGACGATAACGATGTAATTATTATAATAATAATACTGCGGAGACGATTGCGTTGTTCATAATGCTGCTGTTCACGCGTCAACACAAAACGAAAAAAAAACATATTATTACTGTCATCATCATCATCATCATCGTCGTCGTGGTGGTGATTATTATTACTGAATAAACATTCGACCCCCTCCCCTCCGCCTCCCCCCCACCCCCCACCCCCCCCCCCAAAAAAACCGGAGCTAAATCTCAATAATCCGTCAAATCTCAATACTGAAATCGCGAGTATAAGAGCCGCAGTCCACGCCTGAGCGATCATTTTTGCTGCAGCCGTTGGCGGTTCCACGCGATCGAATCGCTTTGCCGTGTGCGTACGTCTCCTGCAACCAGTTGCGAGAGAGACACAGAGACGGAGACGCAGAGAGAGGGAGAGAGACAGACAGAGTTGCGACCGCGAACCCGGTGGGCGAACGGCAGAGGAACGGACTCCGACCCTTCGGCTCGACCGCCTCTCGATCCGTTGTTCCGAGGGGTGTGCGACTGATCGTGGCTATCGGGGGGGGGAGGGTCTCCATCCGACCAGATCGCTGTGCGCCCCGAGAGCAATTCGCTAAATAAGAAGTGCACACACGCACGCGCACGCACGCACGCGCGCCCACACACACACACACAAGACACAAATATCTCCCCGTATAGCCATAACAGATTATTATTTTTTTGTGGCAAGTGCTGTTAGCGAGCACCTTACGAAGGCCGGAACGGTACACGAGGGCGTGGATGGCCAGAACCACGCCCGGCCGCCTTTGTCTCCCCAGTGGCGATGTTTACACACACAACGCACCGGGCACATACAATTTGAGGCTGAGTCGACGACAGGGGGAGACCCGTGACCGGTTCAGATAATCGTCACTGGGTGTTGGTAGCCGCGAGCGGGAATCGAACTCGGGTCACCGGGTTCGTAGAGCAGCGCGCTAACCGCTACACTACCGCTCCCCCTCCCACACACACACACAGACACACACACGCGTGCGCACACACACACCCACACCCACCCACAGGCGCGCGCACACGCACGCGCGCGCGCGCGTATACGAGCGCGCAATAGACTCATAATGGCTATAAACGAGCTCACCACGGGAGCGAAAAACACTGGAGGTTTGATAAATGTGACGCCGTGACAGATTGGAAGGAGGTCTCTTCGTTCTGCTCAAGTGTCGGGTCTTCCAACGTTCTCGTCCGGCGGGTTCAACACTATTTTGTTACACGCGGGTTTGTTCGAGTTTACGAGTCATTGTATTTGCTTTGTGAATCATGTTGATGATTAGAATTTTTTTGCTTATTATTAGTTTTGTCGCTTTGCTTGTTTGTTCAACCCCCAACGCCACCCCCCCATCCGTCTCCTTCACACGCCCCCCCAAAGCCCCCGCAAGCCCCCCTCCCCCCACCCCTCACGACGCCCACTCGTGACGTCACAAAGTCCTCTTCAAAATACACGCGCACACACACACACACATATCGTCGCACGTGCTCATGGCGGCTTCGAGTCGAGGTTTCTTTTTAAATCTTCAATGAACATCGGGACGGACGAATTCCCGAGGAGATATCGAGGTCAGCAGCTCCAGATTTTGGCTTCTAAAAGGTTTTGTTTAGTTATTCCCCCCCCCACCCCCACCTTATATTCACACCCATCTCCTCCCACGCCCCTCCCCTCCCAACCCCCCCCGGCCCCCCCCCGCCCCCACCCCCCAAATCCCACCACTCCCGGACGGGCCCTCCATCATCTTGCGTTTTGGTTCGGTTGCGTGAGCGGACAACGAGGTTGACAAGTATAAGTTCATAAGAAGAAGAAGAGATGGAGGGCGTATCGGGTGAGCCACGTGTCGGGTATCATCATCACCATCATCACCATCATCACCATCATCACCATCATCATCACCATCATCATCACCATCATCATCACCGTGCTACAGTTTTCTTGCTGTTGCTGTTGTTGTTTGTTTTGTTTCGCCTCTCGTTTCACCAGACCGTGCCCTCGCCCATCTCCGGGTGCGCCAGCGGGTGGCCGTTATAGGGCCCAGGTCCCGCCCCGGGAATGTGGAATGGGGGGCTGGGCCCCGCGCTCACGTACACGTCCCCCTGTGGGACCCCCATGGCGTGCAGGTGCGGCGGTGGCGGCGGCCCCCCTCCGGGTTGAGGCTCCGGGCTGGGGGTGTCCGCTCCCCCACCTGCCCCCCCGGGACCCGACGTGATTCCTGGTCCGGATCCACCGCTCCCACCTCCTCCTCCTCCTCCTCCTCCACCGCCCCCACCTCCTCCTCCGCCTCCACCGCCACCTCCTCCGCCACCGCCACCCCCGCCACCTCCGCCACCTCCTCCGCCTCCGGGCCCCCCCGCTCCCCCGTGGGGCAGCATGTCTGCGAAGCGAGGCACCCCTCCGGCGTCGGGACCGGGGATGCTGGTCGGGTGGTGGGGGTGCTGGTGAGGGTGCGGGTGAGCGTGGTGAGGGTGCGGATGAGCATGGTGGGGGTGCTCGCCGGGTCCCGCGAGCCCCCCCGCGGTGGGGAGGAAGGCGAGCTCGGCCGCGCTCTGCGGCTGCCCCGGGGGCCCCCCTTGCGGGAAGAAGTCGTAGCTGCTGCCCGGGACGTAGTAGTCGCCTTGGTAGTCTGTGGGGCAATACGGGGGGGGGGGTGGGAGGGGAGGGCGGTGGAGGGGGCGGGGGTGAGAAGGGTGGGCGGGGTCAAATTTAGTATTTTAGAAACGTGATCTTTATTTAGCCTGGAGGAATCCGATGAGCTATGAAGCTCTTTTTCACAGATGACCAGATGCTGTTTGACAGGGTGAGAACTCAGGTGGAGACCACGATTGAGGCTCAATGGCAAGAAGTCACTCGGGGTCACCAAACTGGAGCCGGCTCCACCAAAAATTTCCCAAGCACTGCGGTCCTCTCTCCCTATATATGTCCATGGTATCAGCCAATCAATGAGTGTTTACATACAAGAGTCAATTAACTAATTCCGAAAGCAACCTCAAGTCGCTTCCCACAAAACATGTTACCTATTACTTGTATCGGCCTGGGTCAATCCTTCTTACAACAATTCGTTGAAATTTCACATTCCTATGATGGAGGGCGGGGGGTCTGTCCAAACTGTTGACTTCCCATTAATTGTATCGACCTTCGCAAGGATGATTGGCTGAGTAAACCCCGCCCCCCGCCCCAACGCAACCAATCAGGAGGATTTGAAACACAAGAAGCACAGATCACCTCCACGTGTTTTAAACATCATACTCCGTGTGTTCTCGATGGCTGTCAGTCGACACTGACTGTACCAACCCATGCGGTGTTGTTGCTGTCAACTAGTTGATGTCGTCCCGATTAGCATTATCGTACCGAGCACACGACTTCTCCGAATCGGCAGGACAGTTCAGCGTCGCCTTTAAATTACTACACATAGCGGGCGGTGATGATGACGATGATGGTGGTGATGATGACGATGGTGGTGATGATGACGATGATGGTGGTGGTGATGATGATGATGATGGTGGTGGTGATCATGATGGTGGTGATGATGACGATGGTGGTGATGATGACGACGATGATGGTGGTGATGATGACGACGATGATGGTGGTGATGATGACTATGGTGATGCTGATGATGGTGGTGATGATGATGGTGGTGATGGTGATGATGATGATGGTGGTGATGAAGATGATGGTGATGATGGTGATGATGGTGGTGATGATGATGATGATGGTGGTGGTGATGATGGTGGTGATGATGGTGATGATGATGATGGTGGTGTCGGTGGTGTAAACATCGCCACTGGAGAGGAAAAGGCGGCCGGGCGTGATGCTGGCCACCGCACCCGCCTTGTCTATAAACGTGTCTACTACGTAGCACGTCATGCAAATATAACGGTGTCTACAAACGAACACGAGTCGGCCTATGATCGCATGTTGCTGCGTGGTCTGGGACTGTTTTGATTGTTTTGCTAAATTTCCCAAGCTTGCGTTTGGTGATTAAAAAAAATCGGCGGCAATTTATAGACTCACGCAATTTGTACTCGTACACACACTGCAGGTTGTTTATTTATTTCTAGTGCATTGTTTGGTGTTGTACTTGCCGACCCCGCCCCTACTGGACCATTTGCGAAAGAGCTTCACAGCTAATCGGATTCCTCCCTCCAGTCCAAATGAAGATTCTCATTCTGATCTGATCCATGCTATCAACAACAGGGCGATTGAAACCTCTGCAGTCCCCGCCCCCTTCTAATCTAGGCCCCGCCTCCTGCCTATTAGCCCCGCCTCATTCATCTCTAGACTCCGCCCACCCAATTGTAAGCCACGCCCGCCCCATCAATTAGGTCACGCCCACCCTCCACTTAGGCCCCACCCCTCTTCCTGATGAGGCCGCTATTGTTCATCTCCCTCCTGTCCCGATGTTCGCTCAGCGTCGTTTCCTCGTTCGCTTGCAGTTCTTTATTTTTTTAAAGCCGCTCCGCTCTCGGCAACATGTGAACGTCAGCGCGTGGACACTTGGCACGAAACGTAAATAAACGATCGGTTCTCGCGCGCGAGATGTCCGGGGATTTGTGTTTGTTCGTACGATTTTTTCCAATCGATTAATCGATGCGTGCGTACATCGATTCATCCCTACAAATTACTACCCCCAGGCGCCGATCTCTCTGAATCGAGTCGCCTCCATCCGCCAATTGCACCACAAAACCCCCAAGCTCGCCCCCCCCCCCCCCCCCCATGCTCCGTCCGCTACAAAAACACACGATCCACTGCTGGATGGTTTGTCTGTCATGGGGGTTGTTCACCGCTCCCTCCCGTCACCACCACCTCGAAAGCCTTATGCTTCCAAGTTGCGTTATGCTTTGTCAACAGGGGAAGAGGTGGGGGTGGTGGTGGAGAGGTCGGAACGAGGAACGAGAGAGGTGGAAGATCGTGGTCGTGGAGATGACGACCGCTCGTGTTGCGATCGAAACGTCGTAGTTGTTTTTGTTATTCTCTTTGAACCTATCAACGTGACTTTACCGAAAGACCCAAAGAATATGAGAGTGGGGGGGTGGGAGGGGGTTCGTTAGGGAGGGTGCGAGGATCTGTGGGGGGGGGGGGCGGGGGGGTTACAAGTGGGGGTGAGAGGGGGGGGCGGAGGGGGATGAAGAGGGGAGATCGGGGGGGGGCGGGGTGTGGTAAGAAAGGCACTTCATTCATTCAGCTGCCGCGCCCTGTAAGATCTTCATGTGTAGTCAGGGAGACTGTTTGGCATCTCCCTCTCTCAATTGGAGATCGATTTAAAAAGCCGAGGGTGCGGAGTGGGGGGGGGAGGTGGGGGGGAGGGAGCCGCCCAGAATAGCAATGGCTGGCTGCTGCCGATGAGACGCTGCGTGTCGAAACCGGTCCAAACGGAGTTTTGCTTGTCCTGAATCAACGCTGGAATTGCGCACTCACTGGAGGATGGCCTGATTGGGCTTTGCAACAATTTATTGTTTGTATACGGAGAGACGGACATTGGAGGGGAGGGGAGGGGGGAGATACATAATAATAGTTTACATTTGTAAGGCGCGATTCATCTGCAGATGCTAATCTCCGGCCTATTTGTTATTTATTTGTTATTTTCAACAACGACGCTGAGTTTCGGAGAGAGCCGCGGAGGGAGATGACGGGGAGAGAGAGGGGGGGGGGTTGAGGTTTAGGGAGGCTCAGGGTGATGAGGGTGGTTGGGAGGGGGGGGAGAGCAGGAATGGCCAAATTTTGTACGGAGATTAAGCGAATAACACGCGGATTTGCGCGGCCTACAAGCACCGCAGAGAAAGGGCTCCTGCCATTATCGTCAGTTCTGATAATTTTTTTCTCTCTCTCTCTCTTGTATTTCACTTCACATGCAAATCTCACTGGGGGTGGGAGGGAGGAGAGGGATGGGTGGGGGTTTAGGGTTACTAGGTGTGCGTGCGTGTGTGTGTCTGTGTGTGTGTAGGGGTATTGGGGAGCGGTGGTGTAGCGATTGGCACGCTGCGCTACGAAACCTGGCGACCCGGGTTCGACCAACACCGGTGACTATTATCTGGGCCTCCCCTAAGTCGACTCAGCCTCAAATCAGTACCTGGTGCGGTGTGTAAAAACATCGCCACTGGGGAGACAAAGGCGGCCGGACCGTGGCGCTGGTCACACACCTCCCTCGCGTGCCGTGCCGGCCTTCATAGGTGCTCGCTAACAGCACTTGCTCCAAGAGTCTGTGAAGGCTACGGGGGATCTTTGTCTTGTAGGGGTGGGAGAGTGAGTGAGTGCGTGGATGGACCAGCGAGCGAGTGGGAGAGTGAGTGAGTGTGGTGGATGGGCGAGTTGAGTGTGGTGGATGGGTGAGTGAATTGCGGTGGTGGCCGGGTGAGTGAGTGAGCGAGTTGGGAGAGTGAGTGAGTGTGGTGGATGGGCGAGTGAGTGAGTAAATGGGTGAGTGAATTGCATGTGGGGGCCGGGTGAGTGAGTGAGTGGATGCGTGGGGTGAGGAGGTAGATGGATAAGTGAGTGGACGGATGACCTAGTGAGTCAATGGGTGAGTGGCTGCATTTGTGATGTGGGTGGATGAATGGATAAAATGAGCGAGTGGATGGATAGATGAGTGAGTGAGTGGTGAGTGGGTGAATAGGTGAGTGAGTGATTGAGTGCGTGTGTGAGTGGATGGGTGGGCCTGTGATTCGATGGATGAGCAAGTGATTGAATGGGTGGCTGGATATGTGGCTGGGTGTGTTGCTGAGTGAGTGATTGAGTGGCTGAATGTGTTGATGGGTTCCTTTTCCCGTTGCGCACTCAACATTCGCACGTTTTCGAAAATGTCGAGCATTTCAAGTTGTTTTACTATTATTATTGTTGTAGTGAGTGAGCGGTTGAGTGAGCAATTGCATGAGTGAGTTACTGAGCGAGAAAGAGAGTGGGTTGGTGAATGGGTGGATGAGTATGTAGATCGGTGGATGAGCGAGCTCGTGGATGAGCGAGTGAGTTAGTAGATAGGCGAATAAACGAGTGAGTTAGTGGGTAGGTGGATGAGCGAGTGAGTTAGTGGGGAGGTGGATGAGCGAGTGAGTTGGGAGGTGGAGGTGCGAGCGAGTTAGTGGGGAGGTGGAGGTGCGAACGAGCAAGTCGGCGAGCGAGCAATCAGGTGGATGGGTAGTTGGGTGTGTAGTTGGTTCGGTAGTTGGGTGTGTAGTTGGTTCGGTAGTTGGGTGGATGAGCAAGCGAGCGAGCGAACGGGCAAGTGGGAGTGCGGATTGGTGGGCGGGTTGGTGGATGGGTGGGTGAGTGGGTGGGTGAGTGGGTGAGTGGGTGGGTGAGTGGGTGGGTGAGTGGGTGGGTGGGTGAGTGGGTGGGTGGGTGGGTGAGTGGGTGGGTGGGTGGGTAGGTGAGTGGGTGGGTGAGTGAGTGGATGGGTGGGTGAGTGAGTGGATGGGTGGGTGAGTGAGTGGATGGGTGGGTGAGTTGGGTGGATGGGTGGGTGGGTGAGTGAGTGGGTGGATGGGTGGGTGCGTGGGTGGGTGGGTGAGTGGGTGCGTGAGTGGGTGGGTGGTTAGTTGGTTGGGTAGTTGGTTGGGTAGTTGGTTGGGTAGTTGGTTCGGTAGTTGGGTGGATGAGCAAGCGAGCGAACGGGCAAGTGGGAGAGCGGGT